TGTAGTTTGGGTTTGCTTATAATAATTGATATTTCAAGGGTAGTCAAAGAATGGTCTGAATCTAGGGTAGAGTTGGGAAGGATATCTGTGTATTCAATATTAGAATTGACAGATTAGTTCAAATTTGGTCTATTCTGCTTTTAATATTTGCTCATTGAAAAGTAAAGTTTTGATTTTTGGGAAAGAAAAAGCGTTATATGTCTTTGTATTGATGACTTTGCTGAAATTTGATGAGTTGTAATTCAGGTATTGAGGATTTTTTTGTGGAGGAAGTCGATCAAATCTTGGGTTTGAAATGCTGTTAAAGTCACCCATTATTATTAGTTTGTAGTTAGGATTTTAAAAAAGTATAATAATTTGTTCTTGTACATCTTTATGGAGTTGTTTTTTCTCTTGAGTTGGGATATAGATTTGTAAAAGTTGGATTACTAGGTTTTTGAAATGGAGATCTAAACCTATAATATGGCCATTATAGTTATGAGTGTGTGCTATATGCTTTGCTATATTGTAATAAATGAAGATTCCAACATCAGCTTGGTGTGGTGATGAGTAAAAGCTCCAGTGACTGGTGTAGTTTAGTGTTTGGTTGTTGAGAAATTTTTCTTCTTTGTTTGAGAGATGTGTTTTGGATAAGCCTAAAATGTCAAAGGTGTTGATATTATGCATTTCTGTTATAGCTAGTTTTTGTTGGGTTAAGAAAGGCTATTGATATTAAGTGAAGCTATATTAATAGAAAGAGAGATATATTCAGGTATTGGTTCAGGAGTTGAAAGCTAATTAGAGAGAGTGTTTAGAGAAAATTCGCAAGTTTGAAGAGATGGTATTTGTATAGATGTGGTGTAGTCAGATTTAAGTAGAGTGTTAGAGTATGCTAAAAGATCTTTGAATAAAGGGAAAAAGTGATTTGGAAGAAGAGTAGTTTCATTTGGTAAATATATATGAGCTTCATTATTGTTATTGTCATTTCTATTTTGTTTGATAGAGATTTTGATAAAGTGTTCTGAGTATAAGTATGAGTAGGTAGTTTGAATATATAAAAGAAATGATACTAGTGTTTGTGAAGAAGAGAGAAGTTGTAGTTTATAGTAAAGAAGAAATTTGTTAAAGCATGTTGAAGTGTCATATATTTCAAGTAGGTTAGAAGGAAGAGAAGTAGAAGGTTTACCTAAAATTGTGCATGTAGTTGGAGAATATTGTCATTATCAGAATCTTCAGAGAGTAAGTTAGAATAAGTTGTTAATATTGGATGTGGAGTATTTAGAAACATGAATGGAAGTGAGGGTTGTAAAGTAGGTAGTGTGAAGAAATTATCATAAGCTTGGATCTCAAAAGGATTGAAAGAATTGGAATCTGAGATATTTAGTGTTCATTCTATAGAGGCGCTCGCCATATATTCAGTTTTCACAGTTGTGCAAAGTACTATAAACTGTCCTGTACGTTGGGTCTGGCCGTCATTAACTTGGTCCTCCACATAAATAGGCTTTCCTGCCTGCCTACCTACATCATTCTCTTCCAAAAATGGCTCACAAAATGTGGAGAACATCATTATTTTGGAAGCGGCAGCTGTATTAATGTTATCTATAGAAGAAATTGAACTAAAAGTAGAGTTATTTGGGTTTGAAGATAGAAAAAGAGTATCATCAAGCTGAGTAGGAATATTAATTCTGTAGTGCTTGATAATAAATTTTTCTGTTTCTAGATAATATTTAGTTTCATAATCTTGTTGAGTTTTTAAAATTGAAAATTTGGGTTGTTGAAGAATATTATGATAAAGAATTATTTGTGCAAAAGTATGAGAATCGGTAGTTAGAGTGATAGTTTTTTCTAGAGCTTCATCAAGTTTAAGATTAGAGATATCATCATTTTTTGCTATAGTGTTAAAGTAGGCTTTAAGGTAGGAATATAATTAATAGGCTATTCGTTTGGTGGTTGTGTCTATTTCATTGATTTCTGCAAATTTTTGATCTGCTTTAAGGGCCAGATCATTTAATATATAAAGTGGGATTGATTTTTAAAATTTTGCAGTATGTTATTGATCAGGTAGAAATATAGAGAAGTCAGAATCGAAAGAAGTTGATTTAGAAGTATCATCTTTAGATGGTGCAGAAAAGTATTTAAATGAATTATTAAAGAAAAGTGTAGATAAGTTTATAAGATTATGTTCTGTGTCTTTAGGGAGAATTGTGCAGTTTTTATCAATGCATGTATGAATGTGATGAAGTGCTTTTTTGGATGTTTGGAAAGAGCAATTTTTAAGAGATAAAGGTTCTGTAATTTGAAAGTCTGGAGGCAAAAGATTTTTGCATTCTTCTGCTAAAATAGTTGCAATATAGTATTTGATATGGTTGCGTACTTTATTTTTATTAATTTCTGTAAATTGCTTAATGAAGTCTTTGAACCAAGAGTCGAGTGTATCAGTGTGTGGTTTTAAAGATAGGATTCTGAAGGTATTAAAGAATTTAGATTTGGGAATGTTAAGGGTAGTTGTAATAGTAAAACGGTTATTGTTATAGATACTAAATAAGGGTTTTTTTGGGTTATCATATTAAAGTTATATTGGATTGAGAGACGAAAAGGATAGAGATCAAGTTTTTCTACAAATTTTTGATAATGAATTGTTCTATATTTGTTATGAAGGAAGAGATATAAGTGAGCAAAATTAATTGCTACTTTGGAGCGATCAGCGATAGTATAGGAGGGAATTGAGTAATGAGATCTAAAGATATGAAGATAATTAAGTTTGGTAAAGAGAAGTTCAGTAAATTTAGTAAGTAAGTTTTTAAGAGTAAAGATATAAGCTATAGATTTAAGTAGATAATTAAAGCTTTGTTTTTGGGAAGGTTTAGAGGATTGTTTGGGTTAGAAATTGGTTGACCAGAAGTAAATTTGCGGAGGTGAGTTTTGGTAAAATTAAATAGTTGTTGTGAGAGCATAGTGTTAAGTTTGATGTTTTGTTCCATTTCTCAAGAAATTGGTTAAGTTGCAAACCAATCTAAGTCCTGAGAAGTATCTTTGGGTTTAGATTGGTTGGTTTGTTGATTTGGATTTTGTTGTTGAGATTGTTTAATTGGTTTGATTCTAGTAACAAGTTTTCGAAGAAGATTAATTTTCTTTTTTTTGGAGAGTTGAAAGAAGTAACAGAAATAAAAAATAGAGCATAGTTCTTGTGTTAGAGGTTTGGTAGGAGGGGTGGGTTTAAGTTTAATATATTGAAGATTGTGTTCACAATCTCGGTGAATTAGATAGCCTTTGAAAATTTTAGCTTTGGAGTAATCAAAAGCATGTCTTGTCTTTTGGGCAAAAACACAAGGAATACTTTTGATTTTGCAGATATAGCATGTATGATAGTGTTGTGAATGTGGAACAATTTCAATTGGTTTGGGGTCTGTATAAAGATTGGAGGGTTGAATTTGGGAGGATGATTGAAGACTTTGTTGTTGTTTAGAGATAGGGGATTTGGGAAGTGTTTTATTAATTTTGTTAAATCGACTAGTAGAAATAATTGTAGTTGGAGAAGTTTCCATTGCTAAGAGACTAGTAGATTAATTAGTTGATTAAGAATGCTTGATTTGATAAAATTTAGAAGTAAAATTTGTATGGTATTTGCCACAAAGACAAGTAGTTAAGACTGGTTGAGTTAGCATTTTAAAATAGTGATAAAATTTGTTAAGTTAGCAAGTAAGAGGGTTGATATCCTTAGATAGAATATGTAAGATAGTTGAATCTGTGTCTTTGTTACCAATACCAAAGCGTTCTGGATATTTGTTGTAAAAATAGTCAAAATCATGGGAATTGGGCTCTTCTGTTGTTAATGTAGGCATTTTGGTAAATTAATATAGCAAGAGTATTGAAGAGAGTAAAAAGAGCTTCACGATATGGTAAAATTTGTTTCGTGTAATGTTGCACTATCTGTGTAACTTTTGTGGCTAGTGTGGCTGGTGTGGCTTGTAGTACAAAAAATGGCTTGTGTGACTAGAATAAATTTGGTAGTAAGCTTGTATAGATTTGTGTAATTTTAGAAGAATTACAGATTTGTAATTATAATTAATTATAAATTAAAAAGGAAATTGTTACAGAGAATTATTAATTGAAGGAACTACCAATTTTAGTTGTTCCAAAATGTGTTTAGGTCCGAAATTAATAGGGTAAGGAGAAAAGGAAAAAAGAGAAAAAAATTTTTAAAAGAATTTTAAAAAGGAGTTTATAAAGAGTATTTGCTATAAGTTAGTCAACTTTGGTCTGTTTTCAATATTTTTTATGTCAAAATGGAGCTGTGATAGAGTTGGAGAGCCCTGTCTCTAAAAAAGAGCAGGTTTCCTTAGCTAAATTTGAGTTAGAAAGCAGTGTATCTATTTAGAGCGAATATTATATATTTAATTAAGAAACAACCCAAGGGTTGTAAAAATTGAGAGCTAAATGTAATTTGGCCTTAGGAACAAGTTTTATTATTTAGAAAAGATAACTTTAGTTAATAAAATTAAGAGAAAATAAATTTTTGTTTTAGTTAAATTTGGTACAAGTGATCGTTGAGAAGAGTTAGTGAATCGATCCCAAAAATTAATATTAATAATATTAATATTAATAATATTAATATTAATAATATTAATATTAATAATATTAATATTAATATAAAATTCTATCCAGTTTACCAGGTGATCAAAGATATAAAATTCAGTAAGTAATTATACTAGTGCTAGTATTTAAGTAGCCATTTAGCAAGCTGCTTAGCTGGCTAATCTATACATACCATATAGACCTGAAATAATGCCCATCTGCGCATTAATTGATTGATCTGCATGTTATTTTGAGTAGTCCATGTGTGTTATTTCAAAATAAGAGATAATTTTTTGGTAAAAAGTGATTATAAAAGAGAAATTTTTTAATGGTCAGACAGAGTGCGTATTAATTCAGGGGCATGTATGGGCATTAATTTGAAATTATATATTCTATTTTAAGGGTATTCGAATTTTGAAATAACACCCCTGAGTGTTATTTTGGGTCTATATGGTATTACAGTTATCTTCATTATTACTGTAACAATCAAAATCAATAAGTTTCAATATCATAATAGCTATAATATTTCGATATTCTTTCGCAGCTCAGATTTAAGTGCCTACAATACAAATTTACATCTTGCAATATACTAAATTATAACTAATCTAGGATCATTTAGTAAAAGATTTCTAAATTTCAAATATACTATATCTGATTTTTATACTCACATATTGTAATTTATACTCTTAAATGGGAGATAATATTGATATTAAGAAGAAATGCTACAAACTTGTGTAGCATATTTTAGAGTTGGGCACCAAAACCTTAAAATTAGAATGTTAATAACTAATACATATTTACTATAAAGTAATCAAAACATTTCTGAAATGCAATCTAATTATCATGTACTTTATGCCTTAAAGTCTAAAATTAAAATTCTAACTCTTTTAGTATAGTATAAAGTTTCGAAAAAGGTTTTGGGTTTCAGAAAGGATTTCAGGATTTTATATATAGTTTCGGGTTTCGTTACCCAACTCTAGCATATTCTAAATACATTTATTAATCACCTTTTATTCTCAATAAATAAAATAAATATATTTAAGCAAATAAAATGCTTAAAATAAAATACAGTATTGGTATATATATTGCATAAAGATAAATATGTATTATAAACTTAAATAACTTACTATGTATATATAACTTATCTATTGGATAAGCTACTAAGCCATTAAAAATTTAATGGTTTAGGCTTGCCATAAAAATTTAATGGCTTAGCCTAGCTATAAAAATTTAATCCTGAATTAGCTTTACTTTTTTTTATTATATAGCGATAATGCTTTTACCTTGTTTGCTATTTATTAAATTTAAATACAATTAATTTTGTTTTATAGTTCTAAACATTAAAAAAGGATACTGCTTTAAATAAATTTTTTTCTAAGTGTTGAATTATAAATACAAATTATATATTTTTTATATTTTTGATATATTTAGTTTTTTAGTTAATTCTTTTATTATAAAAAGAGATTATAATACGTTCAGTTATGGTTTGTTACAAGTTCGTTATTTGTTGAAATTATTTATTTCATATAAAATATAATTTTTTAATTTATTGCTAAATATTTGACATTTATATTTTTTGATAACAATCAATAAAAATAGAAACTATCATTATGCCCAAGCATTTTTACAATATAAGCTATTTCGTTTAACAAATAACAATTCATTAACTACCTCCAGAGACAAATGGGTTCTTTTGTAAGTTATCTAATTCTCTGCATCAAAAAAAAGTCGTTCACTTGGAATAGAAGTAGCAGGAATTGATAGGTATTTATATGCAATTCTGCTTAATATAGTTAAAGTATACTTGTTAGTATTCCAAACTGATAAAGATTAGTGTCTTTAGACTAAATTGGCATGACTGTTTTATTTAAATAGTTATTTATTTCAATTTCATGGTTTACTTGTGTTTGATTTTGGCTAAATATTTTTTTATAAATGTAGGTGCAGATGAGGTGGATGAAGAAGATGAAGAGGATATTCCAGCTTCAGAGTTTTCAACTGACTCTATACTTTGCCAAGTCTTAAACTTATCACGTAGCTCTCTAATTGCTCTGTTTTGTATTTTATTTGACTATACCTTTATTGATTTTAATCTCGGATCTAATAGGGTAGCAACCAACCCAATATATTCTGGATTACTCCAATAATGTTCAAGAGAATTATAAATAATCTTTTAAACTTCAAAAATTAATATGTTATTTGAGAATAGCTTTTTATAGTTAGCTATATTTTGAGTATCTGTGTCATTTAAATTTTTATCATCAAAACTATTATCTTCAGATAATGTTTCATCTTAAATATAATAATTAAATATTTAATATTAATAAATTATAATAGTACAGATTAGAGATTGTAGCCAAGTAGATATTTTTATTATATGCTATAATAAATTACTTGGATAACTGGGTAATTTATTATAGCTATATAATAAAAATGTTTACCTGAATACAATCTCTAAATAATAGATATTATGCTATACAAAATTAATTAATTAGCTTTCATAACCTGGCTAGATTTATTTAAATGCTTATGTTATGAAACTAAGTAATTAAATTTGTATAAGCTTAAATTAAAAATTAAAAAAATTTACCATCAGATATATTTTTATTAATAGCTTCAAGTTCATCTCTAGTAGACATATTATAATCTAAAAATTTTAACTTTAATGCCTCAATAGCTGGGTTGACAACTAAAAGAGTAGTATAACAGGCACTACTCAAATAAGTTGTTAATTCATTAAAGGGCTCAAACACTTTATTAATTTTTGTAATAATATTCATTCAGTGTCTTTAAGCATAAGTTGATTTAGTTTATTAGAATCTTCTTTAACTCTGTTTTCATTTCCTAAATACAAAGTGGCAACAAGCTATTCAATTGCCGGGTATAATACTAAAAGTCTTTTCCAAGATTTATTCATTGAGTTCTACCTAGTTTTTACATTACTAATATGGTGCAAGACATCTAGTTATATCAAAAAATAATTGCCTGCAATAAAAGTTTAATATCTTTTTAAAAAATAAGTAATTAAAAAAAAACTTTCTATAATATTATTATTTAAGACCCAAAGAATATTAGTATAGAGAGTTTTTTTAAAAAAGTTATTTTGGATCAAAATTTCTTTAATTTATTAATATTTTAAAAAATTCAGCACTTTATTTTATTAGTAAATATAAAAAATTTAGCATTTATATTATAAAATACTTTTTAATAAATTAATTAATATATAAACTTTTTTTCAAACTTTAATTTCTCTTTTTTTTTTTTGTTTTTTTTTGTTTTTTTTTTTTTTTTTATTCAGTCTCTTTTAAAAATTTCAGCACTATTAAACATTATATAAATTTTAAAAATTCAGCATTAAATTTTAAAATTCAATACTAAATTTTAAATTTTAGCGCTAACTATTAAAATTCTAGCACTACTATATATATTTATATATATATTTCGAAATTCAGCGCTTTGATGTGACTAGATGTTCCGCACCATAGTATGTAAAATTTTGTATTTTGATTCTAATATTTCCAAATTATTATTGTCATCAGCTTCTATTCTGAATAGTAAATTATTATCAAAACTATATAATTGAACTGGAGTTGAAGTAGTTTTACTATGTTAAGCCAATTCAATTTGTGCCTAGTCAAGACATTGACTTTGCTTTGATAATTTAAAAAATTTAATAAGTTTATAGCTTTTTCAAGTATATAGTTTTATAATTTTTAGTACTCAGATAACAGTAAGTTGAAGAGTATGAGCAGAACAGGCAATATGCTCTACATTATCCCAGGTATTAATAGCTTTTTTCATGTTAGCTTTATTATCTGTAACTGCACAAGCTATTTTTTTAGCCAATCCAAATTCATCAATTTTTTGATATAAATATTCATTAATTCTTTCACTAGTATGTGGGTAATTCATTTTTTCAATAGCTAATATAGCATTACAAATTTCAAAATCTTGTGTTAACTAATGAATGATTATGCTAATATACCCATTATTATTTCTAGATGTTCAAAGATCTGTAGTAATTGAGACAGTTTCACAAGTTGAATAAAGTAATTATTTTATCTCTAATACACCTTTTTGGTATGCAATAGTAATTTCTTTTCTAATATTTCTGCTATTTGGAGATGTAAATGCAGAATTAATTCTATTAATCATTTTTTTATATCCTGCTCCATGAACTGTATTGAATGGCAAGGAGTCAGTGACCAACCACTTAGCTATTACTCTTTTTAGTTCTACTTGTACACTTTCTTTATGAGGAGTTACTTTTCTAACCATTTCGTCCATAAGTAATTGGTGCTTGCCCAAATCAGATTTGAGATCATTTGGCTCTAAAATTACATGCTTTGCCCGAAGGTAAAGCTTCATATTACTAGTTGCACTGTCATTCTTGTATTTTGCTTCACATTCTTCCTTAATACCTATTTTGAATACTACTATCTTACAAACAGTAGATTCATTTTCAATTTTAAAATAATTTCACAATAGCTTGGCTTATTTTCATAGTTAATAATATTTACTCAAATTTTTTTAATATTTTTTTCTTTTATAGGCTCGTCAGTAATTTTTCTTCTAGTTGTGGTACTAGGAAGTTCACTTTCTTGATAATTATTATTAGATTCGATATATGAGTTAGTATAAGGTTTAGCAGAAAGATCAGTATAAGAGTCATTATAAAGGTTAGTATAAGGGCTGTTATTAGAACTATATTTATTATTCATGTTTGCTAGCAAAAGATTTATTTAATAGAGGCTTTAATTTGATTGAGTATTCAATAGTAAGTAATTTAATTGTTTGTTTACAAAATTTTCTTTACACAATGAAGAATAAATCTATGACTATTTATATGAGTTCAGAAACTTTATTAAAGATCTTTTTTTTTATAAATTACATGAGAATACAAAAAATATCTATGCAAATATCATTTTATCTTTTATTGCATGTATTCGATAAGCTTTAACAATTGTTCGTTCTTATTCTATAGGCTTTAGCAAAATTTTATTACATGCATTTTATGAGTCAATACACAGATTAAATCAATGAATATTAGATGCATACCAGGAGACAAGTTTCCTGTTATGTACCCAATAGTTTGCTATAGATCCACCAAATAACTGCTAAATAACAGTAGCATATTGGTAGAATATTGGAAAGATATCAGGAGGTAGATAGATATTAGCAACATAACAGCAAAATATTGAGATATCCTGATATCTTACTTTTAGGCCAGAATGCTAAGAGTAAAATAACAGAATATCCTAATATTGTGCTATTATACTGCTAATATCGATCTACCTCTCAATATGTTAACAATATTCTACCAATATGCTACTGTTATTTAGCAGTTATTTGGTAAATCTATAGCAGACTATTGGGTATATAACAGGAAACTTGTCTTCTGGTATGTATCTGATATTCATTAATTCAACCTGTGTTAGTATTCAATAGATTTTAGAAATCTTTCTTTGTGTAAATTTATAGGCTTTGCAAATTTTATTATATATATTTGTGATTTTAGCTACTATTATTTATTGTACGCACTTGATAAGCTATGATTATACAAGTTTCATAATTTCTTTTACCTAATTTGGTAATTATTCTACTTTTAAAGTTTTAGCTATATGTGAATTTACATTTTACTATTTTGTTTTTTTTTTTTTTAATATTAAGGTGACCACTTAAGCTCTTGGCACTTTATTAGTACAAGCGGTAGGCCAATGTTAATTTTAACACCGGCTTTACATATTATATCAGTATCACGAGAGTACAACTAGTCACACGTACAACTTTTGATTGCCTAT